ATCTACGTTTTGATTATCATTCTGAATCCAATTCATAGTCTTTTTTTCAGCTTTTTGTTCAAAATGTTGTTTATTTCTTTATTTTTTATTTATGAAACTTATCCACATTCAAGTGTTTAAAAAAAGAATGCATGAAGCTAGAATAAAATGTTTTTGTTTACAAGCAGATACCCTGTTCTTTTGATGTTTTGTATGTTCAGATATTCATGTAACAAAATATATACAAATTAATACCTAAATAGGGACATAGTAGTATACTTAAAGTATGATGTAAAGTTCACTTAAAGAAAACTTACGAGTATACTTGCAGTATAAAACTACTAAACTAGTAGTTTACTGAGAATATACTTCAAAGTGTACTACAAGTATTTAAATAGTAAACTATCAGTTTACCTATAAGTTCACTTTTAGTATAGTTGCAGTACAAACTAAAAACATAGATGTAAACTAGTTGTGTACTCAAAGTTTACTACTGTTATACTTAAAGTATATTTAAAAGTATACTTTTATATACTAGAAAGTGGGCCAATTTAGTCCCAAGAAGTATTGAAATAGTACACTTACAAGTATACTACTAGTACACTGATATTTGTATACTTACTACATAAAGTATACTTAATAAAATAAACTTGAAGTATACTACTTTGTGGTAAGGGTTCTGATGAGATCGGTGTGTCTCTTAAAAGGTAATTACACGGGGTCTCTCTCACGCTGCCTGCACAAGAGACAGTGGATGACAGCTACACAAAACAATCCCTTTTAATTAACCAGAGCTCACAGTAACACCACAGAACTTTCTCAGACACAGCCTTTTTATGTCAAAGATGTGAAGTGCTGGATTAGACAAAACAACTTACTGTAGGTTTTCTTTCATGTAGCAGAGCCCACGGTAATTGGTGGTGCAGAGGACACATTTCAGACTGGTTTTGTTGTTATTTATAAAAAAAATTCTGGATGTGGAACAGTTGGTGAATCGCAGTTTAAACGTGCATATTATGGCAATATACATACAGTGAGTCTTTGGAAATGTTATCGTAAAAGAATAGTTCACCCAAAAATGTACTCACCATCAAGCCATCCAAGATGTAGATGAGTTTTTTTCTTGATTGTAAATTTAGCATTACATCACTTGCTCACCAATAGATCCTCTGCAGTGAATGGGTGCCGTCAGAATGAGAGTCCAAACAGCTGATAATGACATCACAATAATCCACAAGTAATCCACACCACTCCAGTCCATCAGTTAACATCTTGTGATGTCAAAAGTTGTGTGTTTGTAAGAAACAACTACATCATTAAAATGT